AGAGAGAGAGAGAGAGCTACTGTAAAAGTAAAAGAGAACATAATAACAAACTACACAATAAGCTGCTATGAAGCGAAGAGGTAAACTCCAATATCAAGATTGTTTATGACAATTGTTACTTGACATCTATGTAACCGAAGTGCTCCAATCTTTTCAGCTACTTCGGAACAAGGACACACTTATTCGTATCAGTATGCTTTAACTGATCTTTTATGTTGATTACAATTACATTGACAACACTACTCACAATAAGATCAAATCTTCTTTGCTTCCAGAAGCAGGGGATTGAGCTCTAAATCAAAACTAACAATAAAGGAACTAAGAGTAGCTCAAGGAGAAATCACAATGTGTACAAGGAGAAATATGAGGCAGAAGATGTAGAAGACCCCAATCACTAGTCTACACAATCAAGCGAATGGACTTGAAAATTCCTCAAAAGGTGCCATACCAAGAAAATGACTAGTTTTTTGTACAATTTCCAGTCCCCCATCTTAAAATTTTGCAATCCCAATCATTTCTTAGAACAATAAACTAATCCATGATCAAAACCAACTTCTTCATTCCAGATCCAATGACACATTTCGTTACAATTCCTATTGCTTTATCCCCTATATTTTCCTCTACCCATGAAACATGACAACCCAACAATCCCCATACATCAAACACATACTGAATTATCAGGTCATCCTAATTTATGCATAGGAAATTTCATCACTTAAACAAAGAAAATATAGAAAATAGACCACTACAGAGTAACCATTTTGATATGATTATAGTTTATTTTAGATAATGTACCTGAATCAGCTTCTGCAACTCCTCCTCGACCAGGAACACCCAAAAGCTCTCTCGATGGCATGCGTTTGTACATCGAGGAAGCTTCTCGTACGGTTGTTCTCCCTCGCATTAGAGCAAGAAAAGACTATTATATAATCAAATAATTTATTGAATAAACTCAAAAGAGGCTCTAATCAGAGATCCGCCAATGTAGTACACTAGAACTCCTGAACCTTATATCGAATTTCGCTATTTGTCCTAAATGTGCAGAAAATCATACTCCTTTCTATGTTTTTTTCAAGTTATAACTCCGGTTCATCAACAAGCAAAAGGTTTTCCTCACTCTACCCTTATTTTACCAAAATGTTCATAATCTCATCGATGTAAGTTCAATTTAAACTTAATCTCCACATAATGGACCAAGAAAATTGCCATACCACAGTAATCACATCTTTATCAACAAAATAATCAGATCTTTACCAGCAAAATACCACTGTAATCACAATCTTTCACCTATTTTACTATTGTTACAGTGCACCGCAACTTTGTTCACTTTTGCAGAAATTCCACTTTTAAAAAGCAAAATTCACATTCTAAACCGATTTCTGTCTCTGTAAATGACAAAGTTCACATGAAAACAACCCGAAAAAGGCAGAGATTCAGTTCAAAGGCAAATTCAGTTGAAACCCTTCGATCTTTGCTTCTCTTGACCAAACTATCACGCAAAAAGCACAATTCACCTCCAAAAACTCCACCATCAAGTGAGACTCAACAAAAATCAGGAATTATTTCCTATCCCATAGAATGCAACCCTAATGCACCTCTACATCCTGATTCTGAGCTGATTTCGAGGTTTTGGGAGTAAAACCAGGGCAAAAAATTCGAAAAAAAAAGCTCAAAAAAACAGAGATTCAAAAAGCCAGAACAGAGATCCAAAAGAGACCCGAAAAGGATCCAGAACTCAACGGAATCTAGATAAAAAATCAGAGAAGAACACACCAAATGCAGCTTAAAACGTAATTTTTATATCTTTATTTTCTGCTTTATTTACGGCGAACATGGAGGTTTCCAGAGAAGTGGCTCTTTAAGCGAGATCCCGTACGTGTACATGTGCATGGCGAACAGGAAGACGGATGGTTTGTACATGTAACCATGAGTGTCGTCGGAAAAAGACCCTAATATTTCTTTCTTATACCACATGTAGCCCTAGCTTTATTTATTCCTAAAAAGAGAGTAAAAAAAAGGAAAAATTGTAAAAGGATTGTATAACCATTTATCTTTAATATAGAAAGGTTACACAACCATTCCAATAGCTTAGATGTATCACACAATTCGATAAAACGTTTTTTGAACTTTGAGTTTGGTCAATGAAATGAAGGTCCATAAAATGAATGTAGCTATTTGATTTGACAACCAACAGGCAAGATTAATTATGACCGCTTTGTGCAGAAAGTAAATGGTGTCATTATACACTTTCCCAATTGTAAATACCCAAAAAATAGACTTTTTAGACAATTTCATTCCAACCAAATTCTTTTTTTGCAACTATTACTTTGAAACCAAGTTTTATAGTAAATACCCAAAAGTAAAAAGTCATAGTTGTTTTTTGGATGAAAATGTCATTAATAATAGTGTCAGACCGAATACAAAAAGTGTCGGAATGCTCTTCACCTGCCGGAGCCCTTCACGTGTTTGCCAGACCGCAAGAAGCATAAGCCAAAGTGTCGGATCAAGTACGGAAAGTGCCAGACTGCGTGAAGACGATATTTTTGTTCAAAAAATTATGATTTTTAACTTGGTGGTATTTACTATAAAACTTAGTTTTGGGATAAAAGTTGCGAAAAAAAAATTGATTTAGGGGAGATTGTTTAGAAAGTCTAAAAAGTATATGCAATTTTCCCAAAAAGGAAAAACCAAAATTTACAAAAATTAAAACACGGCCGTTTCCTTGGATCAGGATTTAGGAGTAATCTGGCCCAGATCCAACATGGGTTATTGTCCTTTTGCATGGCTTGAGTCGAGTTTGGACCAGGTGGGCTATGTAGGATTTGGGCCTAGTTCATCTTTAAAATGAATTTTAGTGGGGAGCACATATGTACATATGAGCCCATCCTTTTCCAAAGGGAAAAGTTTATATAGAGCCGAGGCTCTAAACAATCAAATTGGAGCCTACCACAAAAATTTCATTAGAAGAGGTTGTTTTGATGCCCAAATATCTTCAAATTGATCATCTCGACATCAAGATATATGAACATGAGAAAAATTTGGATTTCAAGTGTGGAAATAGTGTATTTTATAACGCATTTTTGGACCGTCAATTTTCAAGATTTTTAAATTTTCATAAAACTATCGATTTACACTGTCTTTGAAGCTTTAAATTTTATAAATAAAGATGAAAATATATTTTAAGGCTATCACAAAGATTTCTAGTATTGAAAGCACACTTATCGACACTATTGAAGGTAGGCTCTAGTTTGATTGTTTAGAGCCTCGGCTCTATACAAACTGTATCCTTTTTCCAAATGGTAAAGTTTATATAGAGCCGAGGCTCTAAACAATCAAATTAGAGGCTACTTCAAAATTTTCCCTAGAAGATGTTGTTTTGATGCCTAAATATTCTCAAATTGATCATCTCGACATCAAGATGCATGGATATGAGAAAAAAATGGATTTCAAGTTTTGAAAATACTGTATTTTGTAATGCATTTTTTGATCGTCAATTGATTTTCAAGTTTTCATAAATATGTTGATCTACACTATTTTTTAAGCTTTAAACTTTATAAATAAATACAAAAATATATTTTAAGTTTATCACAAAGATTTCCAGTATTGAAACCACTTTTCTCGACACTATTTGAAGGTAGGCTCTAATTTGATTGTTTAGAGACTACGTTCTATACAAACCACACCCTTGCAAATTGCATAGTATTTTGATTCAAGATGGCTCTACACTCTTCTTGAAGACAACTTTGCCCTCACTTCTTCATATGCATGTTTGGAAGAACCTCCCATCCAAGTTGTGATTCGCCCGAGTCCGACTAGACCGTCTCTAACACTTTTTTGTTACTTGAAGAGGAAAACCGATTCTCTAAATTTTTTTAATAAATTTTTTAATTTTTTTTTCTAAAGATACATTGATCTCAAATATTTAGAAAAAGGCTCTGATGATAATGATGATGATGATAAAGATACCTTGATTCGACTCCAGCAACTCCGATTCCTTTATATTAGACTGGTGTCGGATTTGGATTTTCAAACATTGAAAACATTGATCTTAGGTTTTCCTTGAAATAATATTATGGGTATGTTGCCTTTTTCAAAGAAGATATGGGTGAATCTAAATTTGAATATCCCATGAAAAAATGACAAGCTACCAACCATTAATAATGGGTGAGAACGTTAACAAGTAAATAAAAGGGGTGAGAGAGAAATATTTAGAGTGAGATTGTATCACCCCCACATTTGTATTTTAATCTTAGATGAATACATTATCACATTGTGTTTTGGAGAATTTACCTAAAAAATCCTAGTGTGTTCTGTATTAGATAGCACTCCAATTGATGATCGCGACATCGAGACGTATAGATATGAAGAAAAAAAATTCAAGTCTTAAAAATAGTGTATTTTCTATTTATTTTTAAGATTTCCTAAGTGTTTCTTGATCTACTTTATCTACACCATTTTTAAAAATTTAAATTTTATAGATAAAGATCAAAATAAAGTTTTCCAATATTGAAACCACATGTATAAGCAAATTGTAGAGATACGCCTTACTTACTTGTATGAGAGGCAAACTTATACAATTTTTCAAAATCACCAACTTATCAACTAGTGACATATTTCTCATTTCTCAACTATTATAACCCATTTATAGTAATGTGTGTTTTGATGGGCTTTTCGAACTTAAATAAAAAGTAAGGTATTAAAAAGTTCATCACAAGTATAATTTTATACATTTCTCAAGATTTTGCATGTCCAAGTTATACGAAACAAGGTTTAAAAAATAGATTGGGGACCTGGATCGGCTACTCAAAAAACCGTGTTAGATCAGTGATTCGAATTGGAGAATCGGCAGGTTTCGACCTAAATTTTTGTTCAATAAATCCCTAAAAATTCTTTAAAATCTAGTTTCTTATGTTTTTTAAAAAAATGGGGTATTGTATTATAGATTTTCACTATTTTATTGAAAATATATAAATACTGAGAAGATGTTTCGCCTGAGTATTTGTTGACCACTGCATCCATTTAATAGTCAAAATGTAGTTTAAAATGCCCGCATCATCCCTTTTTTACAATAAAAAAAACCATTTTTTATTGAAAAAATGTGGAAAAACCCAGTTCATTAGGAACCGGCCAATTTTTTCTCCATGAACCGGTGGGTTTTGGGGGGATACCGTCGGCTCCTTATATATTATGGGAACCGAAGGTGTGTATCTAGGTGATGTAGGTGGGCCCCACGAGTGATAGTGTGGGAGAGATAAAATGTGCACAATAAAGTTGGGCCACCACAACCTTTTTTTATTTAAAAAATGTGGAAAAACCCAGTTCATTAGGAACCAACCGGTTCTTTCTCCAGTACAGACCAGCTCAAATTGGCGAGTTCTGGGGGATGTGGCCAGCTCTCGATATGTTACGGGAACCAGAGGTGTGTATCTAGGTGGTGTAGGTGGGCCCCACAAGTGATAGCGTGTGGAGAGATAAAATGTGCACAATAAAGTTGGGCCAACAAAATCTTCTTTTTTATTGAAAAAATATGGAAAAACCCAGTTCATTAGGAACCGGCCCGTACTTTCTCTAGTACAGACCGGCTTGAACAGGTAGGTTCTGGGGGATACGGCCGGCTCCCGATATATTATGAGAACCGGATCACCCTAGCCGATTCTCAATTTGGATCAGGCCATTTCAATCCGAATCACCAAATTTTTAAACCTTGATACATGATGCTACTTTTGCGTTATTTAAAACATAAAATATACACCTAATCATGTAATCCATAGACGAGGATGGTACTACCGGCGAAAACCGCCGCAGGCGCGAAGCGTGGTAGGCATGTGCGGGGGAACATAGGGAGGAAAGGGAGCCCAGACGGTGGAATAACCTGGGGACGCCAGCTCATTTGACGGAAATGGAAGGGTCGGCTCATAAATTCTTGGAAAAAGAGGGAGCAAGCAAATGTCTACAAATATACTGCATTTTGATTTGGGATATTTAATGTTTTGGATATTTTTTTTTATAATATCAAATTGCACATCATCCTTTTCATCAAATTTCAAATTGCCCGTCAAATGACACATCAAAATGGGTTTTGAAATTTATCAAAATACACAGAGTAAAATATTAAATAGTTCAAATATGAGATGTATTTTGATAAATTTCCCCTTCATGAATTTGGAGCTCTTAAAATAGTATAGATTATAAGTTTTTTGGAGTGTTGAAATGAAAGGTCCATAAATTGTCGAAAATAAACTATTTTTAGATTCAAAACCAAATTTTTCTTCGGGTGGATTCGCCCAAACCCACCCTAGAATTCTTATAAATGCTTTAAGAAATAATTGAAATAGTGTACATCAATGGTTGCCTGCTGGAGCAAATTGTAGAGTTGCTCTAGTGGCAAACCTAGTTGGGGATTTTTAATGATGCAAAAGTTTTGCCCTCATATTTGATACATCTTGTGTCCATTCCATACAACAACACAACAAAAAATAAAAATAAAAATTGAACCATTAAAATCTTAGATGTGATTGTCGACGTCGATTTTGAGCCATAATTAATTTGGATTTTGGAGTGTTTCTTTGAGCTCTAAATTGACTTTTTATTGATGGGAATGTTTTGATGTTACCCCAATTCATAAACAAAGGTTGCAATGGCCCGTGTCGCTTAGCGCAGGAAAACTAGGATCTGGGCTATAAAACGTGGCCTAAGGGACCGTGCCCATGGTCACCATAGCGCTGGCCCAGTTTGGCATGGCCCGGCCCCCTTTTTTTTTCCTCTTGTTTCCTACTCTATCTAGCCCAGCTTGGTAGAGCCAGGGCTGGGCGAGGGCCAAGGCCTGTTTGGCTCGGTTTGGGCCAGGCTAGGGCCAAAGTTGGTCGGGCCCAAGCCCAGCCTATTGCTAGATCTAATGATTAGTTAGTTCATAAAAACAAGG